TTTATATTTCTGTTTTATATTATCTTAAATAGCACAAAGCAACTTTGGCAGTTTTTACAGCTGAATTAAATCTTAAAAGATAATTGTCAGCGAACGACGAAGCTTTAATCTGACTCAAAGTGGAGCTGAAATGCATGAAGAAAAATTAAGAACTGGTGAGAGTATGAAGGTATAAAAGAGTTGGAGTTGAACTTTCACCTCTTCATTTTAATTGGAGAAAGTGGGCTCTGACATAAAGTCACTCATTTCCTAACCTGAACACTCATCTTTTTTTTCCTACATCACAACACCGAACAGAAAGATTGATCAGACAAGCTCACCTCTGATTGGTCAGTCAGACTGTCCAATCGGGGCAGCTCAGGCAGCTGGGAGAAGCGCCGGTCGTAGATGCAGAGATGCAGATGTTTGTCCAGAACACGGAAATCCTCATAGCTGCGCTTCACAATCCAGCTCCGGCCCTTCAGGAACAGAACACACACGCACACACACGCACAGCGGTCAGATCCACTGGCTGCTTCCAGAGCTAACTGCTCATTCTTATACTAATGAAGACGATGATGCATGCCGTTACAAGACGCCAGGAAAAACACAGTCAAGGCAAAATCTGGCTTCAACAATATTTTGTGTTTCAGGATCTAAATAATCTGTTCACAATAACTAACTGTGACCTCTGGTCTCAAATTGTTGCACACTGTGTGTGCAGTGGCTGCTAACTCCAGCTGTGATTCTGCCCCAAACTCTTGACCTGACTTTGCAACCTAACATCAAGGTTGCAGTTGTAGTTACTGCTGGTGCACCTTTAGTCACTACACTTTTTCCTTCCAATTGATTTTCCACTAACATTCTTATAAAAAAAAAAAAACATTTTTAACTCAATCCTATGGAATATTTAGCTTTTACTGGAAGAAAAAGGGTTTTCATTGGCTATAACAATTATCTAAATAAACAGAAAGATTTTTTTAAAAAGACCCAGAGTTCCTACCTCCAATCCCCTGCATTCAGTTCAACCCATTTCTAGTCAAAAACAAAACCAGGATTTCAGAGATTTGTTCCGTTTGATCCTGTCAAAGAACTCCAAACCCCCATGGAGGCAAACTAGAGGTAGAAAATGTCCTCTGCTTTCATTTGCTAAAGAAGGATCTATTTGAGGTGATGCCAGAACTTGTGGGACGGGAGCTGCAGAATGCAGCTCAGCCGACTGATCCTGGTGCCGTTTTAAAAAATGCTGGCAGGGAGAGACGCCACAGGGAGGACTCTGTGGGCTTTTTGCTCCACTTTCAGACGGCGCTCCTGCTTACTCCTCCTTTTTTTGGGTTTGTGGCACTCGACTCGTCTTCCTCTATTGAGGGCTCAGAGTGCTCGACTCGAGGCCATGTTTATGCAGGAGGTTTTTTCCTCTTTTCCAAATAGAACCAGGGCAGATTTACAGGTTTTCCGACGGCTGCAAGGAGTTGAATAAATAAGGAAGGACCTATGATACCTGAACAGAATGTGATGACGATTAGTAGCTGAATAATGTGCAAAACACGGTCGATATTCTAATGTCAAAATCACACTAGCTATTTCTGTGTTTCCAATTAAGAAACGCAATTAAAATCACACGTGAATAAGTTTGTTCATTAGAAAACATAAGCCTCCAACTTCTTCTCGTCGCCGTCGTCTTCTTCTTCGTGGTTTGCACCAGCGGCAACCAAATAAGGTTGTTGATCATGTGACTTGTGTGATGCAGTTTTTCAAAGTAAAACTGCATCACGGTTTGCCGATAAAATGTTTTCGGCAAAACATTTAATCGAAAACCGAGAATTTATTCGAAATGTCTAATTGTGCAATCCAGTGGAAGCACAGGTGGCGTCAGGTCTCTGCAGTCTTACCTGGCAGTAGATATGAACCAAGTACACCAGCTCTTTGGACTCGTAACCGTTCCGGGTCACTTCACACTGCTCATCTCCCAGGGTCAGCTGAAAGATCAGACAAGCACACAGGTGGGAAATGTTACACGTCTCCATCTGAACAATAAAGATTCGGATCACAAGAACTGGATTCATTTAGAGCCACACGATGTTCAACAGATCTGAGACTACAAACCTGGATTTAACCGATATGCAGAATGCAGTAAATGATCTTCTTACAGTGTTTGTGACGGTGTTTCAGTTTATCTGGTAAGAAGTACCTGCTGATCTCAGGATATGCCACTACAGGTTGAAGACTACACTGATCTTTAGACTCTACTTAAACGGTTTGGTCTCAGTTTGTCATCAGGTTTCTGATCTTTAAAAAGCCTGACCTGCCAATACTGATTTTCTTTTTGTCTGAAAAGTTGCTAAATATATAAACAAAGTCAGTAAGGTGGCAACAGTGGGGTGACTACTGCTAACCGCGCCCGTTCAGATGTAACTGGGGTCATCTGTCGGTCAGATCTTTCTGACTGCAGGTAAAAAGGGACAATAGCTGCGTTTCCATTACAGATGTGGGCAAAAACCTTTTCAATATTCTGCTCGCAGTTAAAACCAAAGCATGATAAGCTTGCTAAGTCATTAAAAACCATAGCAGTGATGGATGTAAACATTAAATATTAGTATTTCAGCCACACCAATCTACCCAAATTAAGAAAATCTCGGCTGATTTATTGGTACCATAAAACATAAAAATACCTGTCAGAAGTTTCCTGCTGGTAGAAATGGTTTAGTGGAGTCACATGACCAAATTATGGCCATTTTCTAGCAGATCCTACAAAATGGCTCCAAATCTTAAAACCAGCTGACATGGTGGTGACAGATCGCACTGCCTGATGGCTCCACTTTGTGCCCAAAAGAGTTGGGTAGGAAATTTCAAAATAATGTTTTAAACTATTCTAATTGGTAATGTGTGAGTGAAGGGCGAATTTCAGACAATTGTTCTAAAAAAGAAAACTTTGAAGGGTAACTGTGAGGACAGTAGGAAGTCTGTGAGTTTGATCCCACTTAGCCGTCCTGCGTCCAGCAGTTTGTTGGCAGGACACTGAGCCTCATGTTGTCCACCAATCTGCTGGAGGATGCTCATCATTTTGCCTCTTTGCCCTTTCTAGTTTGAATTATTTTGTACTTTCACACCAGACAAAACATCCTGAAGCCATCTGGTGCAGGACGTTTTAGACCAACTCACAGCGCTCTGCAAAACCGATTGTTTAAATTGAGTAAATTGAGATGCAACTGTGTAGTCAAAAGGTGTCATTAAAAAAAATAAATACATTTACAATGAGTGTAAATAGGGCTTAAAACAAAGTTTTGAGAAAAAATACAGTTTAATAAAATGGTGATTTCTGTGACTAATTACAACTTTATTCATATATGAAAACTACAGGATGAAATAAACTAACACAAAGTACTTGAAGTACAGGGAGATGAAACGGATGAAAATGTTTGAAATGAAAGCACATATTGGTGAGGGGCTGCACTGACCCAGATCCTCTGCATGTCAGTGTGTGTGTGAGAACGGCTGCATGTAACTGGTAGTGTGAAAGCACTGAGTGGTCAGTAAGACTGGACAAGCTGCAGCTAAATGCAGTCCATTTACTATTAACGTTGTGTGAATCTGTGTTTGTGTGTGTTGGGGGTAGAAGCGGGAGGGGTTCCAAAGTCAGTGAAGGAAAAAGACATCTGTGTGTTTGTGCTCCCATCTGAGCAAACCTCAATCAGACGCAGTTGTCTCTGGTAGATATACAGTGAATAGAGCCTTCACATGGCAACAATTGTCCTTTCTGTAGTCGTTTCTCTGCTTTCTGACACAACATAGCATGAGAGCGATGAGCCGATTATCTCGGTTTTACATCCATGAGTGAAAAGTCTTCCTGTTTTCAGAGAAAATAGTGAAGCAACAACAAAAATGGCCCAATAGCTGGAGGCATTTAAGAGGAGTAGACCACATCTTTCCTGAATTTTATCAGAATGAATGTTGGGTTTGAATGGAAATAAAGAGAAGAAGTCATTGCGATGTGGAGACGTTGCTATGGACCCATCATGTCCCAAATGGACAAATCCAAGGACAAACTTTTATTCTCTAGATACACAGAAAATAAAAGTTAAAAAGCATAAGCAGAGAGGCTCCAGAATTATTTCACCTTTAACCCCTTTCAGACAACGCTTCCACCATAAACATGAACTGCACATCGTATGAAGCTGACCTGCAGAGATCAATGAGGCTAGCGGCTAACAACGTAGCATTCCTCCACCAAGGGATCTTCCATAAGGTGTTTGTGGAAGACGCATGCAGTGTGTATTACACAGTGCTTGTGTCCATATCTCAATGCAGGCAGGCTGTCTGAATGGGTTCAAGGTTTTAACTATGAGCAACGATGCTGTGGGTGATCTTCAGCAACAGATTCTGCTGATAAATATATTTCTCCAACCAGATGGAGAACTAGGGGGTCGATACGAGGCCTTGTTTCTGAGCTGCTCTCCTCCATTTGATTTGTGCCACATTACCACATCCCTCCTTTTGCAGTCCTGCATAACATTTTACAACTCAATGTTCAGGTTATTCACACAGAATCATAAGCAAGTGTAGATCACAGAGAAAAAGGATGATCTGAAACAGGCTTTTGTATTAAAAGATTAATAAAACCGTGTTTTATAGCGCCTCTGCTTTCACAAAGGGAACACCGCAGTCCGTAAATAATGACTGCTTACAACAAAAAGACCTGGGGCTGTTCTTAAATCTTACATTAAAAAAAATCCAGGTTTGGCAGGTCAACGTTCTACAAAAACAAACCGTCAGAGATCATAAAACACCCACAAAAAATTGGTATTGGTGCATGTTTGGCTCATTCTTTATGAACCACCTATGGAAAAGCTTCATGCTGCCTCACAGACACAGCAGCCTGAACAGAGAAAGCTCAGAAGCATTTTGAACATCATCTCATTGATTTTTAGGTCAACTATGCATTATAGGATCGTGAGAGAGATTTTGAAAGCAGAAACGTCAGGGGAAAAATAAATCAGAAGTGTGATTTTAATCATCCAAAATGCAAAATCTGACTTCTAATCTCTGGTTCATCAAAGTATTTACACAGAGAGAAACATGAACAACAAATCAACCATTTTGCCAACAGGCTCAATCTCTTTTTCCAATGGAGGCTGACAGGACTGTTTCCCACCAATAAATAAGTCAACCATCTATCCAACTCTGCAAATTACAGTAGATACCGCTGAACTCAAGGCAAATACTCATCCAACTCCAGGTCTTGTATTTTCATCTGCTGAAACAGCATTAAGAGAGATTTTTGTAAGGAAGCCTACAGAAATGTCCTGCTGCTTCGAAGCTCTTAATGACCTCCATTGTCCGTAATGGAAGACATTTGGGACCACCAGGATAATTTCTAAACTAAACTCAGCAAATAGAAAAGAAAGGTCTTAATGAGGGAAGTGACCAAGAACCCAATAGTCATTCTGTTAGAGCTCCACAATTGCTCTGTGGAGTGACTTTACCAAAAGACAGCTGCAGGACTCTCAAATCATAAGGATTAAAATTCTCTGGTCTGATAAAACAAAGGCTGAACTCTCTGGCATTAATGCCAGGTGCCATGTTCAGAAGAAATCTGCCTCCAGCATCAATCAGGTGTTTAGACATTTTATCAGAGGAAGCACAGGCACGCCAGATTTTAAAAAGGAAACCATTTATGACATGTCGGCATTTCATTCAGGCTGCTACTTGATTAGCAAGCTAACAGAGGATAAGGCCACAAAGCTGATGTTTTATCTTCTGACCTTTCAACATCAGTCTGTCTCAGAAAACTCTGGATTTGGAAATGTTCTGAGTCTTTTGGCAATCTTACAGTTAAAGTAAAGGTCTTCAGTCTGTGTGGAGTTACTAAAGTTAACATGCCAACTGCTAGCATAAGATGCTAACCTTTCATCCTTGTTTCTCTCTACGTTACCAGAAACGGTAAACCTAATTTTTTTTATGCTTAATATAAATAATAATGTTAGGAAAAAAACATAATTTCAATGTTATTTATTTGTTAAAGGATCAGCTGAAAACCAGCAGGTTAAAAGTTTCCAAAAACTGGACATCAATACTGAGCAGCTTTAGTTACGGAATGCTAATATAATTAGCACAAGACAAACAGCAAACAAAATTAAAAAAAAAAGAAAATATGGTTTTCAAAAATAACTGTTTAGATACAATTAGAATAACCAATGACTAATTCTGAAACATTTAGAAAGGCTAATTGTTAGCTCAGCTCATCCGAGTTGGCCGCTGTGGACTCCTGTAGTTCAAGTTACACATCTGGAAACAGAATTACGAAGGACATAAATCACCACAAACCTCTTTAGATTTACAAAAACTTCACATCTTTGATGCTTTCTCAGGATATTCTCTGGTAACGTACAGAGAAAATACCTAGTACCCACCAGTCTTTTCATCACTGTTTACATTTCTAGAAGAAATTGATAAGTATAGAAGAAATTTTAGCCAAGTTCATAAATAGTGATGAACAACTCAGACCGGTCAAAGTGTTAAGTCGTTTTAAAGCTACACACAGCTAAATATTTGTTTATTATTCTGTTGAGCAAAGATCTGCAGAATGCCACTATATTTCTCCACCTCACAGTTTTACAATTTTTTTTATCCACACAGATGAGAGAGGAAACTGAATTGCATCAGACTTGTGTAATAAGAAAAGAATTTGGATTTTTCTGGTGTGATCTTTAGTGAAAGAAAAAAAAAAAAGCCAAGCAGTTCCTCCACTTTCTGCAGTAGGACGACAATCTGCACGAAGAACCAAAGAGCAAAGCCACAAACACAAACATCTGCCACACTTACTGCGGGTTGAGTCAGGTTGCACTCCTAGCGGGTGTTGGTTCCCTTCAAAGCCGACACTTTCACTCTCGGTTTGATCGCTCTGATCGCTCCAGCACCTGTCCCCAGCACCATTCCCACTGCGTCTTTCTCTACATGCGGGACGGACATGAAGGAGCCT